ACACACACACACACACACACGGCACACACACAAACATACACACACACACACACGCACACACACACACACACATCCATACATACACATACATGCACACATATTATATAAATACATACAGAAAAACAAACGCACAGATACTCCCACACATTGACATACATAATATGCATGCACACACATACACACCAACAAACAAACAACAAACAAACAAACAAACAACAAACAAACAAACGAGTAAATAAACTCACTGCATGATCATCAAATTAAGTGACACACCCCCTACTTATTATACACGTGTAAGAGACAAACAAGCACGCGAACATCTCGTACAAGCGAACTAACTGCACAATCCACACGTCTTGGGGCAGATGTAAGGGGCCATGTGGTCGTCACAAACGCTGGAAGTTTCCTGAAAACCGAAAGAATTATAAAGATTAATCTATTCATTCTTTAAACAGCCCTACCACCTCACCCCTGGTGGTAGTAATAATAAGTTGCTTCTTCTTCATTTTTTCTTCTTTTCTCTTCTTTTCTCTTCTTTTCTCTTCATCTGCCTTCCACGTTCATGCGATGCATTATTGATATAACTGGTTGGGTTGCTGGGTTTTTTAAATCGCCGACTACCGTCAATGAGTACAGAGCCCAAAACGTATTCGCTTCGTTAAGTTTCCTATTACCCTCTGCACTGCCAGACCCAAGACAGTCGTGGATTCTTTGGTAGGAATGTAGAGCGTGGCCGGTGTCAAAAGGTTAACTATGAACTGTAGACTACTGAGTGGAAGCTATGAAAGTGAAACAGAAGGTCATTAGTTTATGCGCGTCTGATAAAGTCTGTGCATAATGTGAATGTTAGCGACAAGTTACAGCGAGTGGATAAACAGACAGACAGACAGACAGACAGACAGACAGACAGACAGACAGACAGACAGACAGACTGACAGACAGACAGACAGACAGACAGACAGACTGACAGACAGACAGACAGACAGACAGACAGACAGACAGACAGGCTATATTTACACATGTTTGCAAGGCACAACAAGAAACCCCACTCGCCCCCTAAAGGAGGGAGTTCCTAAACAAGACTTGGATCTACATTACTTTACGTTACTAAAAACAAATTTTGGAGGTTAATCAAATTTGGCACGACGCAATGCTTTTACTTCTGGGTTTGCTTTAACCCCCCCCCTTTTTTTTTCCCCTGTTATTTTGTCCCTCTCCACAGGCTACCCTTTATGCATACCATGTCTATTTTTACAAGTGCGCATGCGCTACATACCTTTAGCATGGCACATCCGTTGTTGAGCACCATGTCCTTGCAGACATTAGCGGGAGCTGGCCCAGCGGAAGCTTCACCACCACCACACAGGCCACATGACTTAGGGCACACAGTCACTGCCAGACGATCGTGGCACATGTCCTGCAATAGACGACAGACTGTGACGTACTAGTTTGACCGTAGCTAGTGAGTAGTGCGTCGATGAGATCATCATCATCCAGTGCCAGATCTGCGACAGACATCGGCGATCATGATTTTCCATTCATTCCTTTGCTCGGATGCTCTCAG